CTAGATAAGATTTTAACAACTCTGAGCTATTAGTTAAGTTCTCCCCAAGCGAGCTCGATGGGCCGAATGGCCTCCTCTCGTTTGTATAATTCTTACACTGGGTGTAGTTTATGAGAAAGTGCAACACACTGAACCCTTAAGTAGATCATGTCCATGGTTGTTTGCATATAACACCTGTCTGTACCGTATCTGGGAGGCATATAAACGGCAGCACTAACGTAGCACCATTTTCCACACATCGCTTGTCATTACATGAGATTGTCAGCGCAATACTGGCTAAAAATGATGGTGTTTCTAATCCAGTGCCAAGGCCACAACAGAGTCTTTTCTTACAGTAATAATAACACACATCACCACATCAAAGTGGAGAGCTTGTCTCACACCTCTGTTTATGGTGTTACACTCGACATGGATAAAGATGACACAGTCTAAATTATAAACGTGATGTTACCACACTCCCATTGTACCACACTCCCACAGCATCGCACCATTGGGATCAGTCAGAGAAGAACATATCTGGGCTGTATTTCTGTTGTGTTTTCAAATAACCCGTGAACTAAGACAGTGTTAATTTCATCGCCAAGTTTGACGGAACGTTTCCCTCCTGGTTTTGTTGATCTCAGGTCAGGGATCAAGAGATTCCAGTAAAGAGGAACTTCGTCAAAGCCGTTATCCATGTGGAAGACTGCAATGACCACGCTCCAGCGTTTGTGAGCCCTCACTATCCAGCGACTATTCTGAGCGACGCCGCCACTGGCACTGAGGTTCTGCGAGTCAAGGCTTTGGACAAGGACACGGGCAGCAATGCTGACATCATTTACTCTTTCCATTCAGGTGAGGGAAGGAGCTGTGTTCCGCTGCAAGAACTTTGTCCTTGGACACATGTTCCGTGAGAGGAATACTCTGTTCTTGCAAACAATGTTCTGTTGAAAAAAAGACACAAATGTTTTATTTCCAATTTGTTTGAATAGTATTTCCTTACAAGTTGAGCATAGATGTGTCAGACTGTATTTCAATGGTGTCAGAGGGAATTTGAAGCTAGGAGCTTTTATCTATGTCTATAAACGAATACTAATGTCGTGATTGTTTTTTTAGGGAATGCTGATGGCATTTTCAGCATTGATCCTGAAACTGGAAGTATACTAGTGGCGGAGCCGTTAGATAAACTATCCCAAGAACACTACCACCTCCATGTGAAGGCAACAGACCAGGGGTTCCCCCAACGCAGTGACATATGCCCAGTCACCATCCAGGTGAAGCTGTCTGAGAACGTTCCTCCCAAGTTCTCCTCAACAGAGTATTTCACAGAAATCCCTGAGTCAAGTCATGTGGGCACCCCTCTCATCACCATCACTGCCTCCAGCCCTTCTGCAGTACAATACAGAATCAAGGATGGAGATCCTAATGGCACTTTCCACATCAGCTCCGTCTCTGGAGTGTTGTCGGTACAACGGGCTCTCAACTTTGAGGAGTGTGCCTCCTACCGGCTTCTCGTAAGAGCCTCCACCCTGGCTCGAGCCTCCTCAGATGCCATAGTTTACGTCTACGTGATTGATGAGAACGACAACCCGCCTGCCTTCCTCCAGGATGAGTTTGTGGGGCAGATCAGCGAGTCTGCCCCTGTCAATAGCATGGTAATGCGGGAGGACAAAACACCTCTGGTGGTCCGTGCTACAGATGCAGACACAGGCATCAATGCCTTGCTTGTCTTTCAGATACTTGAACTGGAGATGCAAAGCGTGTTTTCTATAGACCCCAGCATGGGCACTCTCTCTATAATTTCCACTGTTGATTATGAATCAACACCAGAGTTCCATTTTAGTGTTCAAGTAATGGATTCGGGTGTACCGTCTTTATACGCAGTCAAACCAGCTAAAGTAACTATACGCATCCTAGATTTCAATGATTGTCCGCCTAAATTCATCATGTCTATGTACGAATCTTCTATTTTGTTCCCTGCAGTTCCGGGAATGGAAGTCATCCAAGTGACTGCAGTTGATCCAGATTCAGTTGTATCATACTCAATTCATGAGGGAAACAATCCTAATGTTTTCAGTATTGATCCTTCTAGTGGGGTAATCTCTATAAGCAATGCCTCTAGTCTCAAACTTAGTTATCACATCTTAGTCAAAGCCTCTGATGGCTTATACAAAGACACTGCTGTGGTCAAGATAAATGTCACTAATATTACAAAGACAAATCTCGGATTTGATCAAATGCACTATGCCACCACTGTGATGGAGAACACAACAACTATCCAAAGCTTAGCAGTTATGAGAGCCTCTGGGAGTTACCTCAATGAACCTTTGATCTACTCAATTCTTAATCCTCAGAGCATGTTTTCAATGATCCCGACTTCGGGGGTTCTGGAGACTACAGGTGTTCCTTTTGATAGGGAGGAGCAAGATGTGTATGATGTGGCAGTGGAGGTAAGGGACTTGAGGAGTCCTCCTAGAATTGCCACTACACACGTGAAGGTATATGTAGGTGACGCAAATGATAATGCACCAGAATTCTTGAACTTGCCAAACTTCGTGACAATATCTGATGAGTCTGAGATAGGTGATGTGTTCTTCCAAGTGACAGCTATGGACAATGATCTTGGGGAAAATGGATCGGTGATTTACCTACTGGAGGATGACTTCAGCCTTTTCAAGATTGATCCTTACCTTGGGGATGTTTCTTTACAGCGAAGTTTTGACTTTGAGTCCATGAATAAGTATGACCTCAGCATAGTAGCCCGAGATGAGGGGGACCCAAGTCTGATGTGTGTTGGAGAGCTTCACATACAAGTCCGAAATCGATCCAATCCAATATTCCAGAGTCCACTTTATCGTTTGAAAATTCCGGAAAATCTTTTGCCTTTCACAACTATCTTACATGTGCAAGCCAGAAATCCTGAGGGCTTTCGTGTGATCTACAACCTTGGGGAAGAGAACTCCTCAAAGAGCTTTCACATAGACTTCAAAACTGGTATCTTGAGCACTGCTGACCGTTTGGACTATGAGACTCAGAGTCGCCATGTTCTGACTGTTCGAGCGACAGATTCAGTGGCGGGAACTTTCTCTGAGGCCACTGTTGAGATTGAAGTAGAAGATATAAATGACAATGCCCCAGCATTTTCACAGATGCCTTACATGGCAAGTCTGCCGGAGGGATTACCGATTGGCACCTCCGTACTGCAGGTATTTGCCACAGACAGAGACTCTGGGAGAAATCAAGAGTTATTTTATGAATTAATGGGCACTGGAAAGAATGAAACAGATGTCTTTGAAATTGACCCAGTCAGTGGCCTTCTAGTAACCAGGCAGGTTCTGGATTATGAAAGTATTCAGCAATATCATCTGAAAGTCAAGGTTACAGATTACGGGGTACCCCCCTTGACCAGTGAAGCATTTGTCATCATCAATGTCACTGATGTTAATGACAACCCTCCAAACTTCAGTGAGTCTCAGTATCAGGCCAATCTTAGTGAAATGGCCACTTGTGGTCACATTGTAATCAAGATCCAAGCTTCAGATCCGGACATCAGTGATCATAACAGCCTGGAATACAAAATAATCTCAGGAAACGAAAACAGACATTTTGCCATCAATAAATCCTCAGGTTTAATTTCTTTTGCGAATGTCTGTAGTAGAAGCTTAGACCCTTTTTATAACCTTACTGTGGCTGTTTCTGATGGGGTTTTTCAAAAGACGGCTCCGGTCAACATCGATATGATGAACAGTAACAAACATAGTCCATATTTTGAGAAAAGCATCTACGAGGCTGAACTGGCAGAGAATGCCGAAACCGGAACCCGGGTCATCAGACTTGCGGCTATCGATCCAGATGATGGGCCATATGGCAGCGTGGATTATACGATCATTAACAAACTAGCTGATGAGAAATTCGCCATAGACAACGAGGGACAGATCAGTACATCCCAGCCCCTGGACAGAGAGAACCCAACCCAGAAAGTGATTGCTATAAAGGTTATGGCAAAAGATGGTGGAGGAAAAGTTGCGTTTTGCACTGTTAAGATCATTCTGACAGACGAAAACGACAATGCTCCCCAATTTCAGTCATCCGAATATCAAGTGTCGATCAAATCTACCGTAAACAAAGGCTCCCCCGTCATTCAGATAATGGCGTATGATGCGGATGATGGCAAAAACGCAGATGTCACTTACATGGTTGACGATGTGGAGGATATCACAGAGGAGCTCATTGAGATAAATCCTTTCACTGGTGTGGTCAGTGTCAAGGAGAGCCTGGTTGGGATGGAGAACAAAATCTTCACTTTCAACGTCGAAGCCCGCGATGGGGGCCTCCCATTCTATAATACCACCGTTCCTCTACAAGTGAAAGTTGTTCCACCTGAGGTTGAGTTGCCAAGATTCACAGAGCCTTTGTACACCTTTTCAGCATCTGAGGACCTTCCTTTAGGCTCTGAGGTTGGAATAGTTAAGGCTGATGCAGATATTCCAGTCATATACAGCCTAGTGGAAGGCAACACAATTGAAAGTAACAAGGAAAGAATCTTCACTGTTGACAAAGACAGTGGAACCTTGGTTATCCAAAAGAGCATCGATCATGAGAAGACCAAATGGTATAAGATCGATGTTATGGCTCACTGCAATCACAACGGCACAGATGTGGCCTCATTGGTGTCCGTCAACATCCAAGTCCAAGACGTGAATGACAACCAGCCAGTTTTTGAGGCTAACCCCTACAGAGCCTTTCTGGCTGAGAACATGCCGGTGGGGGCCACTGTCATTCAAGTTACAGCGAATGACCCAGACACTGCAACCAGCGGGAAGGTAACATACAGGCTGGAGCCAGAGCTGTATGACATCAGTGAGTTGTTCACCATTGACAGTGAGAGTGGCTGGATTACCACAATGAAGGAGATGGACAGCGAGGTCATGAGTCTGTACCAATTTCATGTGGTGGCCATCGATCACGGAGGGAGTGTCAAGCTTTCCTCCTCCACGCTGGTGGAGGTGACAGTGACAGATGAGAACGACAACCCGCCTCACTTCACCGAGGAGGTGTATCAGGGTTCCATCTTGGAGAACAGCAGAGAAGGAGAAGTCATCGTCACCATCAGCACCACTGATGCCGACATTTTGGAGGAGAATAGGCAGGTCACGTGTTACATAACAGGTGAGAGTCCTCAAGTTGGACAGTTAATGTTTTTACACGAAACATGTTAAAGTAGTTTTAAGGTTGTAGTTCTGTTATTCAGAGCAAGTAATTTCACACACTCATTGTGATTTTATACACAAAACAATTAATATAAATTAAGTACAGATCAGTTTTGTTTTTGATGTAATGCTCACGCCCCAGCTGGTCTCTCCTCTGGTTCTGTTACGTGTGGAGTCTGCATGCTCCCACTTCATGTACATAGTTCCTCAGTATGCTTTGGTATCCCACTGCAATGTATGGTTAGATGAACTGGTATCTCTAAATTGCCTGTAGTGTTTCAGTATGTGCCTTAAAATGGCCTGGCATCAAGCCCAGGGTATCGCCTTTGTCCTATGGAATAGACCCCAGGCTTTGTGTCACCCTGTACTACATTAGCAGTTATGAAATATCAGTTTATGAAAGATACTGATATACAGCAAACTATCAATGATTTCTATACTTTTCTATTTTGGTTGTACATAAGAAAATGGAGAGATACAGTGTTTATTTCTGAGCATGCTCAAGGGATAGTAGCTATTCTTTGTTCTAGATTATCCTTGGTTATTGCAGCATGCTTGATTTTAAAAAATTAAAATGCTTATCACATTCATATTTATATGTTGTATTTGCCGTAAAACTTCTTAATTGCCAGTGAGGTCAATTAAAACATTAGTAAAGGTCGCTGCATGGGTGTTTAGTTAAATTTTTTGGCCATTCCATGTAGATGGAGACCCTTTCGGCCAGTTTGGCATGGTCCAGGATGGGGACGAGTGGAAGGTGGTAGTGAAAGCTTCTCTCGACAGAGAAGTGAAGGAGAAGTACAGTCTGAAGATCACAGCCACCGACGGACGCTTCCAGACCTCCTCCATCGTTGAGGTTCACGTTCTTGACATCAATGATAACAGCCCACTTTGTGAGCAGGTGAGATGAGAGCCATTCATTAGAAGGGAAATCTGCACAGCATTTGCATTCTTTGTCTGTGTGCAATATGATTATTTTTGACCGGTCCATTTTATTCGCTAAGATACAAAAGAGAAGTTGATTGGCTGTTACCATGACTTTGCCATTATCTTCCTGAGGTATGAGTGTAATTACTAGCTATAAGATGAGATTTTGGGCCTACTCTCAGATTTTTATTTTTCTTCTCCTCTGTCTTTTACCTTAATTGCTTTTGTGTCTCTCTGCTATGTTGTCTGACAGACAACATAGATAAACGACCCACAGACATTTTTTAAAAGACTTGCCACTGGTCACACTGACCGTTTCTGCTTTTGTGCACAGTTGCTCTACACGGAGGTCGTCATGGAGAATTCTCCGCCGGGCCTGTTCATCCTCAAGGTCACCGCCACTGACCCTGATGTGGGTACAAATGGACAATTCTCCTTCAGCCTCCATGGTCCCGACGCTGATAAGTTTCACATCAACCAAGACACCGGTAATGCCCTTTTCTTACCTTTATAGGGGCGGGACGTGCGTTTCTGTGTTGCGGGGTGATCCTTCGTCTGTCTAAGTATCTGATAGTATCTGTGCTCTGAAGCTTCATAGGAAACTGAGTGATGCCCGGAACAAAGAATAAAATGCACCTTTTCAGAGACCGTTAGTGTTCTTTGTGCGTATTCACATATTTTAGTGACATCTATGTCACACTAGTAACTGCTTATTAACTCTGTGAATGACATATGATAAACACAGAGAGCGTATCGTGGCATTTAAGCCGTGGCATTTGGCTTTCACTTTTAAACACATTGCAGTTGGAAGTTCTGCATCCGTTCACTTTTGGGTTATATGCAGGGATGTGCATAGCTGGTTTGTAAGCGATACGCCTTGCAAATGCTAACAGTGCAAATGTGTACTTATTTTATGCACAAATCCACTATTTTGACAAGAAATTAACATGCATTTTAGCCTCTATTCTGTGAAAGAAGTACACTTTAGCCGTATAAAACTTAAAATGCACGGTAATTCAAATGCACATAAGTTCATTGCTCTATCTTGTCTTGAGAATTAGGTCAAAACGTCAGAATGTCTTTGATTCAAGAGAGTACAGTACTGTAGAGCACTGTATATTGTACAATGTATCTTATTATTACTGTATTTAATGCTGATATTGTCTTCCTGTGTTTAATTTACAAATTTCCGTACCTAAGTACACGAAAATCAAAAGAAATATGGTTCACTGTTATCCGCGGTCTCGGCTATCCGCGGTAGGTCTTGGAACACATCCGCCACAGAAACAGGGAGACTACTGTATGTATTTGCACTGTTACAACAAGTAATTGCCACGCATTTTAACCTTTAAATGGCAAACGCATACCTGCACACCAGATATGTGCCTCCCTGATTATATGCACTCATTTCCACGCAGTCTTACTTTATTATTTACACATGCCCTTAGCTTCAGGGCTGCCCCTCCAATTCTCCGAAACCACAGATATTTAATAATTTTAATGTTAAGCAGCAAGCTTTATCGAGTGTTGATCCGTCTTGTTTAAACTTGAAACTGGCAGAATTATGACAGGAAATTCTGTTCTGAAAACAAGAAAGAATTTATTACGGGTATAATTATCTCTGACACGCGCACTCTCTGCTGTGTTCTTTTCTGTGTGTGTGTGTGTGTGTGTGTGTGTGTACACTTCACAGGAGACCTGTACACCCTGGGGTCCCTTGACCGGGAGCTAGACTTGGAATTCGACCTGGTTGCCAAGGTGACCGATGGCGGTGGCCGATCCTGCCAGGCCGACATCCTTCTGATGATCCAGGACCAGAACGACAACGCGCCCAAGTTCCCCACAAGCCACTACTCCATAACTGTTTTCGACAACACCACTGTGCGCACCCCCATCGCGGTCATCTACGCCAAGGACCCAGATGCTGGTGCGTGTCCCACTTGTGTTGGTGGTGGGAGTGGGAACAACACAGCCCTGTATAGCCGAGTCTTCTGGAACCCAGTTGGCTTGGTTAGCTCCCGTTAGCACCTTGTCCTGCCCAGTCACAGTGAGTTAGCACAAAGCAGGCTGCAGCCTGGAGGCGCTCTACATTTGATCTCTTCAGATGGGCGTTCTCCACGGAGACGTGCCCACACTCGCCCCAAAGTTCCCCACTGCCTTGCTTTTCAACCTAGCTGAGGAACTGAGCAGCCCATTCTAAATGCCACCCAACGTTGGTTCTGGAGCTTTGGTTCTCACCGTCAGTTAGAAGGTGTCCATATTCATGCTGAGATCATATCCCAGAATCATGGCTGCCCCGTTGGCATTCCAGGACGTGGCTGTGGACTCAGGATAGGCTACATGAAGGTACATGGTGGCTTCGTGGATAAAGCTTATCACTCTCAGCTCTGATCTCTGCTGGATACATTTCTGTGGGTCTTCTGCGGGTTCTCCAGTCTGTTCCCATGATTCTCACGCTCTGCCTTGTCCGTCCCAGTTGACCCTAGCTCACGACTGTCTGAGTTGTTTGTCACTGCAGTGGGGCCACATCCTGTCCGTGGTGTATTCTGCCATAAATTGGACAATTGTCTTGTTTTGTGGTAACTGTTTATGTATCTGCAGTAGGCCGGTTGACTACCGGAGACAAATTCCCTCTATGTGTGAACAAATCTGGCCAAATAAACTGGACTCAGATTGTTATACTCTTCTGGAATAATGCCTGAATCACAGGCACTGGGGTGATTGGTAACTTCAAATGATGTGTGGATATGATTACCGGATGAGGGGGGTCTCAGAGTCACATTTCTGACAGGGAGGTGATTAAAAGTACACCGTGGTGAAAAAGACATCTGGGGAGGTGAAACGGAAGAGACCGACGTATAAGATTTCAGTGATTAAAAAAAAAATCCAACTGCACAGAAACAAAAGTGACTTTCACGAGAATCGCAGTGACATTTACAGCACAAATGCTGACATTTATGGCTGTTTTTTTATTGAGCTCCTTTACTGTTTCTCATGATACCGCAGATGTAAGCAGCTTCTATGTCTGCTGTAGTCTGATATTCCCCAAAACTTTAAATCCCTGCTTCTGTGAGTAGTAACAGCACATAGGATCTGGTCTTACCCAGTTCTGGATCTTGTTGAGCCTGGAGCCTGTCCCAGGAAACACGGGGCACAATGAGGGGGGGGCACCTTGGACAGGATGCCAGCCTGTCACAGAGCACACACTGACACGCTATGTTGGCATGTCAACCTGCATCACTGCATGCTTTCGGGCTCTGGAAGGAGGAAACCCACATGAAAATGGGGATAACTTACAAACTGCACACATAGACCGGCATTCTGCAGCTGTGAGGTGACAGTGCAGCCCACTGAACCACCATGTCACCTGTTTGTGAAATAATTACGCTAACACTTTACTTAAGACCATGCTTTTAGTAATTTATAAACACATTCATAATGCAGTACAAACCATCCTTAATGCTTACAGTATACTGACCATTATAATGCATTATAATGGTATCTTTAGTGCATTATAGATGAGAGCTTCATAAACCATCCATAATGCATAATACACATAGCTATAATTATTTATATTATGTTTATAATTTATATGCTTATAATTCTTTATGAATGCATTATTTGTTATGAATGTGTTTATAAATGACTAAAGACATGTCCTTAAGTAAGGTGTTAACATAATTATTTTTACAAGTAAGAAACCAAAATGTCTCAAAAGCAATAAAATAAATGTATGTATTTGTTCCTTCCTCAGGTATAAATGGAGAAGTTGTCTACAAGCTGCTCGGCTCGGACAGCTCCTACTTCTCGCTGGATGAGTACTCCGGGATCCTAAGGTTGGAGAGCTTCCTGGCCGACATTCCTCAGACCACGTTTGAGCTGCAGGTGCAGGCCACAGACCGGGGGCTTCCCCGGCGACTGAATTCCGTCGCCACGGTGACTGTCAACATCGTGGACCTTGACAACTACCAGCCGGTCTTCCAGAGCAGCCAATACTCAGCCCAAATCCCAGAATCCGCTGCAGTGGGAACTGAGGTGCTGAGCGTGTCGGCCTTCTCCGGAGACAGCGTGCCCATCCTATATGACATTATTTCTGGCAACGAGCATGGAATATTCCAGATTAATCCAAAATCAGGTAAGGATTAGCATGCTGCACTATTTCAGTATTGATAATATGTCTTGTGGATGGATGATAAAGACTTGCAGGGAGATGTTTGTGTGCAACGTACATGTTCTCCATGTATATAAATGGGTGTCATTTGGATAACCTGGTTTATTTCCACAATCCAAGAATATACATTTAGTTGAATTAGCATCACCAAAATGCCTGTGGTGTGTGAACTGTCCAATGTCTCCTGCTTTGTGCCTCTCTTTCATGGAATAGATTCCAGACTTACCACGCTAGATAAGCAGTTATGGAAGATGAGTGTAAGAACGTCTCAGAAGGAAAAAAAAAAATGCAAACTGTTTATGATGTATAATGAGGGCATCTGATGTTGTTTTAAAACCTGGAAGATTATCCGAAATTCTTCACCCCTGAAGGTATTTTCAAACAATAACAGATTTGGTGCAGTAACAGCGCTGAAAGAGTATGAAACACATTCACTCTCTGCATTAGACAAAAACACATCAGTTATCGGGAAAGGGGAAGACTCCAACTGCCTGTAAAGGCATGTCTGCGGATGACTCACACCCACTGAGAATCTTTTCTCATGGCTTGCAGATTAGCGTGAGTTTCATTGCATAATAATGCAGCTCCTTTATTAGCCGCTAAACCGCTCATGAAGGTTTCGTACAGTCACCACTTGGAACAGCATTATTTAGTCAGTCAGTAAGAATTTAGGCAGGCTAGGTGCTGACACAGACATACTACAGTTTCCTGAAGAGCTGTGACAGATGAACCCTAATTTCAGTCTGGTTTAAAATGCGAACCTTTATACCGAGATTTATCTTTTTTTGGCTGCATTATTTGCGCCTTGGGTCTCGTTACACTGCAGACAAACATGTTGGAAAAACAAAACCATACAACGAAACGGGAGAGAAAGGGAAGAGCTGAAAGATTGGTCGTGTTGAGCCTTCTGGGGATTATTGAGTGAGAGAGTTTGTGCTGGTTACGCATGTTCCACTGGGTGTATCCAGTTCACACTCAGTTTTAACCCGAAATATCATTAAAAAATGATGATTTAACAATGTGCTACTTTTATAACACAAAAATATATAAAATCATATATTCATTTTGTCCAATGTGTTCCTTAGGGTGACCCAAGATTGGTTGTGGTGTTATTTTAGTGGTATGATGCTATACCTCTATCCTCCAGTAGAGGTCATTGTTATGCCTTGTACTATCATAAAGCTTGACAGAATACTGTTTAGATAAGAGGATTTCGCTTCAGGTTGAATGTCGAGTGTCGACTAAAGTTATATAAACCTGCCTTGCCCTGCATTATTCATTTTAACGACCTCATTAAAGAAGCTCACAGGGCGCAGTGAAGAGATATCTGAGTCATATCAGATTCTTCTGATCACTGTATAATGCATTGCTGTAGCAATCGTAACTGGAGGAGGCAGGACCAACCAATCAGATGTCTTGGTCCCATCTCCTCTAGTTGCCTGGGCCCACCTCCTCTACAATCTGATTGGCTATTTCTCTGGATCAATAATTTGTCTTTCTGCACTCAGCACATTTTTGTGTGAGTGAAACTCCCATGAGCTCCCAGGACTGGTGGGCAGTGATGTTGTGGGGGAGTCGGCCGGGAGCATCACTGAGTAGTAATGGCAGTGCGCCAGATCACAGAGTAGCAACAATAAAAAAAAAACCATGACCTCCAACAACAATTAAGGAACTCCCTTGTGTGTATTTTAGGTGTGTGGGGTCTGCTGAGTTCGCCGCATGCTTTCTTGCTGTATTTTAATTGAGCATGTGAAGGTGACTGGCAGGCAGCCCAAACACTAAACAAGATAAACAATGTTAGGAAATTGTGCCATCCTGTGTCCTTTCCAGGATTACGGTGATCTGGTGACTCTGGATTTGTGCAACAGATTATTAACCCGATTCTTTAAGCATGTGTTCTGTGGTAGACCTCCAAAAAAATGAAAGACCCTCTTATTTTTTGTTTCTATCTCAAAAAATGAAGAAAACATAGAGAGTGTTTGTAGCTAACCCTAATTGTTGGCAGTCTAGGGCAGGGATCACTAGGGTTACCTGGAAGATAGCATTTGCTTATTTTCTTTCATTGGTTCCAAGGTCTTAGCTTATTAGCATAGCTTTGCTGTAGCTGAGTTAGCCAGATAAGATTGCATTTGTCTGTAGAGGCTGGGATTTGTGCGTTTTGACGCAGTTGTGGACAGCTCTCATCCCTCTTTATTGTTGGCAGAAAAGACTGACTTTGTCACAGGGGGAGGTGTAGCTGCTTTCAGAGGCTGGCTTTTAATGAAACTTGCAAGAATTCTAGAATGTTGAGCAACCATGGGCTGTGTTGCTTATTTGTGACCTTTACAAACAGAGACTTGGCTTTGAGTATGTAAGAATGCCCTTGTTGGGTGGGACTTCAGCACGGCGTTCCTGTCAGCTGCATCATCTCTGTCGTCTCTGATCCATCATCTCTGTATCCTAGGTGTCCTGTCAGTTAACTCCCCCCTGGACTACGAGCAGCGGAGCGAGTATTATCTCTCGGTGGAGGGATCGAGAGGCAAGTCCTCCCTGAGCGACGTTACCATGGTGATCATCAACGTCACAGACGTCAACGACAACCCTCCCATCTTCAACCGAGGCGACTACAGCGCCGAAGTCCCGGAGGACATTGCCCTTGATGACTTGGTGATGCAGGTATGCTGGCAGTCGATCTTATCATGACAGAGAAAGCCTGTGACTTGACCCCTCAATGAATGAAGGATTGGCTTCAGCATCGTATCCCACATTCCCACTGCAAAGGCAGCATGATGGAAATCGTTTGTGCTTCCAGGTAATGGCAGAAGACCTCGATGGACCTTTAAACAGCCTTGTCCACTACAGCATTGTGAACGGTGATCCCCAGAAGCAGTTCATAATTAATCGCCAGAGCGGAGAAATTAGGGTGAACCGGAGACTGGACCGAGAGGAGGTAAGGAGATCCTTCCAAATGGTTTGCTCCTGCCAAAGCGACCATGACCCTGATCTTAATCATAAAATAACGTCATCCCTGACTCTGAAGATGTTCAGCACCTCTCCCATTAAACTGCCCATTATAAAGTCCTTCATTTTCTTGTACTCGATACTCTATGGTAGAAGTTCACAGAAGATCTTATCCTTGTACTCCTGTCATAATGGTGCATCCAGAGGATCTGACTGTTGTCTTTTACAGGTCCCTCATTACTCCTTAACCATCCAAGCCGCTGATGGGGGGGACCCACCCCTCTCTACCGCCGTGCAGGTGACCATCACCGTGTCGGACATCAACGACAATGCACCTACCTTCTCCCAGATCAGTCACAACCTCTTTCTCCAGGTATGGATTTGGGGCCCACCCTTTCCCCCATAAGGAATCACATCCCAGACCATCGGCAGAGCAGAGCAGAGAGACTAGTACCCTCCTCCATGACGGCTGAACCCGCATGAGTCATGCCTCCTAATTATGGGCTTCTAGTGTTGCGGACACGTGCCTCGCAGCCAACTTGTTTCCACACCAGGGGCCTGTTATCTTCTGAATCTGCTGAGATGGTGTAGGTCAGCGACAATTAACCTTAAATCGTGCCAGTGGGTGTCCTCTTAATTACTAGTTCCAGCGGGGCCAGTTCTGCGGCCTCCGAGCTACACGCTGCAGGCTTTTCGTGCTCCTCTGTCTCTCTCAAAAGCAAGTGCTACAGATCCCAGTAGCAAATCCCCAGCTGCTAGGAATGAAGCTCCAAAACAGATCAGGCTTTGTAAAGACACCAAGCAATGCTAACCAGACGCGTCAGATAACCATAACAATGATTGTAATGATTGTACTCAACAAGTGCCATAAACTACTTCATGAACTTTTTAGAAGGTTATTTTATTGGCACCCAGTGGTGTATATATAGGGGAGGGGCCACAGGGGCACCGGCTTCAGCTGAAACCTGATTGGCCCCCTGAGTGCTGCCTCCCCTGTCATTTACAGATTCAAAACATATCATTGGCTAATAATAAGGTTGGCCCCTTCATACCCCTCTTATATCCCCCACTCTAAACATTGCCCCTGTTGGAACCGTCTTCTTGTTCTTTCCATAAAAGCTGCTTGTTTTGACTTGATAGGAGGGCGAGCCAGTGGGCAGTGGTATTCTCCAGCTCACTGTGATTGACAAAGACACGCCCAAGAATGGCCCGCCCTTCGCGTACCATATCGTGTCTGGGAACGAGGATGGGCACTTCCACGTGGACCAGGGTGGTCTGCTGTCAACCACTAGCCAGCTAAAGAAGAGGACCAGAGAGCAGTATCTTCTGAAAATTCAGGCAAGGATGACCATGTTATGATACTTTCTGTTGTACTACAGTTCCCAAAATGCTAGAGCATAGAGGACAGGAAGTAAGGCCACAGGTAAACAGGATGCGATGTGCTATGTAGGAGATTTGGTAAGAAAAAATTGAATGTGAAATCCATGCCTCATTTTTTTAATAAGAAGACAACATAGACATAATTTCATGGTTCTTGTTCAAAGGTTTAGGGGTGGCACTGTGGCGCAGTGGCTAGTACTCTCACCTCACGCCTGTGGGACCCGGGTTTGAGCTTCTGCCATGGCTCCATGTGTGTGCAGTTTGCATGTTGTACTTGTGTCAAGGTGGGGTTTTCTCCAGGTATTCCAGTTTCCCTCCATAGTCCAAAAACACGTCAAAGTTAATTGCAGTTACTGCATGTGTGAATGTGCCCTGTGATGGGTTGGCGTCCCATCCTGGGTCGTTCCCTGTCTTGCATCTGTAGCCTCTGGGATAGGCACCAGACCCCCCATGACCCTGAATAGGAAAAGCTGTTACAGAGGATGGATGTATGTATGTTGAAAGGTTTAATAAAACGAGAAGCTGTCATACTGTTTCCCTCAGCGACAGCAGTATGGACCCAAATGACCTAAATCAATCTATCGTACCTACTATAGGCAAGCACAGGGATGAATATTTTTATTCAGAAGTTTCCTGCTGAAATTTCAACAGTCCAGTTAATTAACAGAAAGAATAAATGAATGAACAGTTGTATTTATTTTGTTCCCCTCCTATCAGGTGATAGATAACGGGCACCCTCCTTTGTCCTCCATATGTGTGGTGAAGATCAACATCACCGAGCAGAGCACGCACCCACCGTCCGCCGTGCCGCTGGAGGTCTACGTCACCACTACGCACGGGGACTTCTCCCGCAGAGTCCTCGGCAAGCTCCATGCCACCGACCAGGATCTCCATGACGTGTTGTCGTACCGGTTGGCGTCGGAGGTCCCGCCGGGAGGCCGGTTCTCCGTGGATGAGGCTGAGGGTGATGTGGTGGCAGAGGGCCCGCTGGAGCCGGGGCTCTACCTGCTGAACGTGAGCGTCTCCGACGGGCGCCTCAGCACCTGGGCCGGGGTGCGGGTCCACGTGTGGGCCGCCACGCAGCCAGTGCTGGACCGGGGCTTCACCCTGCGCCTGGCCGGGCTCACGCCGGAGGAGTTCGCTCGCGATCACTGGAGGAGTCTCCAACGTGGCCTCAGCCTCGGCCTGGGCCTGCCCCGCCAGGAGCTGCACGTGGCCAGCCTGCAGTCCGAGCCGGGCTCCCTGGCCTTGGAGGTCCTGCTGGTCTGGGGCCAGCAGGGGCTGGACACCCCCGTGGAGACCTTCCCTGCCAGCCGGCTGGAGAGTGTGGCCTACGACGTGGGCGACGCCATGGGCCTCGACGTCTTGAGGATACGACATGGGGCGTGCGCGGGGCCGGAATGCCGACAGGCCAGCTGCCGGAATACCGTCCGTCTCCTGGGAGACGTCGAAGGGCCTTATGCCACAGCCCGGGCCAGTTTCAGCACCCCACGGCACGCCTGGGAGAGCATCTGCTCCTGCAATGGTACGCGTCGTCTCTTGGTCAGCCACGGCGCGCCCTGTGGGATTGTCTGCACCCTCATGCTGTACATTATCTCCATCTATCTTCTAACTGTCAGGAGTGAGTGATAAACCTACTCAAACAGCTACACAGATACTGAAATAGATATCAGACCTTTTCCGGTCTTTATTTTGACTGGTCCAGCTAAAAGGCTCAGATAAATCTAGTCTTTGGTCTCTATGATACATCCGTGAACTTCTTCAGAATGAAAAATACGGTAGTCTGTTATATTGACTACTAGGATCATAAAGTATGGGGGTGGTGGGGGATGCCCTGGACCCCCTGGGGGTTGTATGCTCAACACAAAGATATGCCCTTGGCTAGGAACCTGGGTAAATTTAGAAAGACCTGAAGAAAAATATGATTTCCTAATGATTTTCAGTTAATAAGCGCAAAGTTTAGCTATAGAAAGTACTTTCCACTTCTGCTTTAAATAAAGTCTTCAGCCTTTGCTTGGTAGATGGGTCAGTGCAGGGGGGGGGGGGGGGACAGTTACATTTATCCACCTTCTGATGCTTTTATCCAAAGCAACTTACAGTAAAGTGAAGGGATGTAAATCCATCTGTGCTTCCTGAGATTCAAACCCATGACCCGCTGAGCTTGTTGCACTAGTTATTAATGTGGTATCACACAAGATATGGAAGAGAAGGCCACAATTGCAGATTTAACATATTTGGGGGTTATTCATGTGAGTCTGCTGTCTCTTAGGCTCGGCCGTGCGCTTCGACGGAAGGGGCTACCTGAAGTACCTGTACCAGGGGCAGGAGACCCAGGGCTTCCGGCTCTCTCTGAGCATGAGGACGACACAGACGCAGGCCGTCATCGTGACCGCCAACTCCACCGACTGGGGCTCCCTGGAGGTGTGGCCTGCCGCTCCACACAGCAGCACATGTCTGTAATGCCTAAGGGTTATTCCTCTAGTTCCAGGGTACCGCTGGGCTGTAATTAGGCAACCATTTCCTCTTACGCTATATGATGTAACTGATATAATAGTTAGATACTTAAAACAGAGCCAGTCCCTAGAGCTTGGGGCAAAGTGCCCTGAGGTTCATTCACTTCCTGTAATCTCTGACCTGGGCAAAGAGCAGCCTGGTAAAAATCAAACCATTCCAAACCCTACTTCGGCCACCGACATGTAGAAAGATAAGATAACATAGCGGCGTATTGCGAGACTTCGCTGTACAAACGCAGGTCTGTTCCATGGGGAAGAAAAAACACGACATACAATTCCACACATATGTTACCATATTTAAACAGCAAGGGCCCAAATATTGCATGATCACTATGAAACCCAGTTTTAATGAATCACCAGACTATAATAATTCATTTACGTGCCCCCTGCTGTTGGTCAAGAAGAATGATTGAGTGTGTGATGAATGATGAGGCAAACAGGCAGATGTCAATGTGTGGAGTTACACTCCTTCTTATGCATGTCACGTTCGCTTCAGTGGTTAATCTACTGTAAAGAACATTCCGGAATGCATTAGAATGACCCGGAAGACTTCTGTCATCATGTCACTCATCCCTCAGACGTGTCATCAGATGGGGTTTCTCCAGACTTCAATCTCTAAAATGATCACATAACGAAAGTGCTGCTTTTTAAAATAAGAGGACGACAGTCCCCGTCCTGCCCCAGAGGACGACAGTCCTCGTCCTGCACCAGAGGACGACAGTCCCCGTCCTGCCCCAGAGGACGACAGTCCCCGTCCTGCACCAGAGGACGACAGTCCCCGTCCTGCCCCAGATGATGAGCTTGATGGGGCTAATGGCCTCCTCTCATTTCTAAATTTTTTATGTTCTTATGTATTAAACCACTGAGCTGCACGTCACATGAACCCGGAGTGTCCGCTGGCAGGCCTCTCGCTTATGCTGCCCTACGCAAAGTCAGCTCCGAACAGTATTCCGCTTGAAAGGGGTCCCAGACCTTCAGGCTGACAGCAGAGCCTTTACTCTTCAGACTATTACATAGGGTGATGGGGGTGTCGCATCATAGCATACAGGGGTCTTTTATCATTATGCCTTTAGAAGGGTTACCGATAAAGAGGTGGCCCTTGAACAGGGTTACCGATAAAGAGGGGGTCCTTGAACCCTCAGTCTTGCAAGCATATGAATACAGGGGGAGGGCTGTAGCACTGGCGCTAGCTGAAAACTGATTGGCCCCCAAAGTGCCCCTTCCTCTGTCACTCACCAACAGGCGTATCATTGATTAGTGATAAGTTTGGTCCCCCTGTATGAATTAGAATTTAGAGTCAGGAGATTAATTAGTATTGCTCCAATAGGAATCCAGCTATATAAATAGGTAAAAAAATATAAGTTGAGGAACCGAGTATTTAAAGTACCTGAGAGCTATTGATTTCAAGAATTTAATATTAACTGCCGCCCCCCCTAGTGTCTCTTTTCAGAAGTTACTGCTGAGAAGCTGTCAGGTACTAAAAGCTTTTTGAGTCCCTTCCTTTGGTGTGCAACCACCAGCCTCACATGCTCCTCATCGGAGCATCATTTTTAATGCAGCGCATTCGCACAAGCAAGCTGTGACGATGATTCGCGGTAGATCAGTATGACAGAATGCTAGTATAAGAGGGCAATTGAGGCCGATGACATTAAGTATTGAGGGAACAGAATGAAAGGTCACGTCTGCCGATGGTCTCGTTTTAGCTGAACAAGCACATTTCAATCCTGCAATGACTGTCATTTCAGATCTAAACAGTAACTATTCTAAGATCATAAAATCTGAATTTTAGGTCACTTTTTTAACAGCTACAATGCTGTATGACTGCTTCTGTTCCACAGTTCCCCAGAGGGATTTCATTTATTCACGGAGCGAGGAGCTTTTAGATATAGTACATATCTTATACACACCTTTCTTGCCTAATGACATTCTACCTGTGATATTAACAGAAGGAGACGTTTTGTATGAAATTTCATTCATGAAAAGAAATCACTTTCCTTTACGTTTTCGCACTGCTGTGTTCACTCAGATAGCACCATGGCAACTGTACACGAGTCTAAGTCTGAGCTTGGCCTTTGCAGTCAAATTAACTATTAATATTGTAATATTACAGTGGTTTACGTAATGCATTCCTAAATTCCTAATCGGTTTTCATTACAACATGGATGAATTTTGCAACCTTGTTATTTATTCTCCATCACTCGTTTTCCAGAACAAAGGTGTCTGTAGTGTCGGCTTGTGCTTGTGACGTGTGTGTACTGTGTCTGTTATATGGATATTATGGACATGATAATCCACTCCTCATGTCAGGAATGCTGCTTGCGGGACACACATCTGTTAGAGACCCAAAAAAACCTGTTTGATGAATAATGTAACATTCAGTAAAGAACCTGTTACAAAACAATGTTTGCCAGTTGAAATCAAAACACCGCTTATAAAGTGAAAGGCCTGAAATCCAAAGTCAAAAGATCTCATTCTGTTTTTGACCATCCATCTCCTCAGACAGAACTTCTGCAGCAAAAATAAATGCATTGTAAGGCTACCCTCTGTCAGCTGACACATATCTGACTCTAGCTTTGGGGCTTTGGCTGTCGTACAAGGTTTGGACGCTCTGGGGTAATTTGCTTGCTGGAGTCACATATTAACAGTGTCATACTGAAATCTCACTTGAGTGCCAATGCTGCACATCAGATTTACTGCACTTTCTGGTTGCGTGTCTGTGTCGATGCCCTCAAATGTTTGTGACACTCAGAACTCGCAGTGACTTGGAGAAAAGAGTCTGTCTGGTTATTTACATCCATCTCTCTTCTCCAGTTATATAAAACAATACCCCACAATCAACTAGAATGAATAATTAGTAGATGGATGGATGGATGACGAATTGATGCATATAACACAATAACCCACAATCAACTAGGATAAGTGGTTAGACGATGGATGGCTATGGATGTTTGTAACACAATACCCTGCAATAAACCAGGAAAAGTGTTTGGATGGATGGATGGATGGATGGATGCCTATAAAACAGTACCAAATGTAAAAGTAAGAGCAGTGGCGTTTCTCCCGCAGATGATGCACGGGGTTCTGCACTTCCGCTACGGCTGTGGGGGGGGCCCGCATAGCACCCTGCACGTGCCAGGAGACCCCGTGTCGGACGACCGTTGGCACCACGTCCTCCTGGAGGCCAACGGCACCGCAATCAAGCTCACGCTGGACCGGATCCACACCGCTGTGGGCGTGGCCCCCCGCCCGTGCCGCTTCTCCGGCCCCCGGGGCTCCCTGCTCTTCGCTGCCACCCAGGGGTCTCGGGGGGCCCCGCTGCTAGGCTTTGGGGGCTGCCTGGGTGACCTGCAGCTGAATGGGGAGTTGCTGAGGCACACCGAGGGCCCCGCTGGGGCCGTACCCGGTGCTAGGAAGCTTTTCGGGAGGTACCAGTGCTGCTTGGACTCCGGGGGGTGCGCTAGCACCCCTTGCCAGAACGGGGGCTCCTGTAAAGAGAACTCCCTTGGAGGTGAGCTTGCTTGACGCTGCAGGCCAAACTACACCCTGACCAAGTTAATGAATTTGTATAAATTAAAATCTTGGTGTTTTGCATTATTCTTCTTAAAGTTTGGGACAGCATTCTAGTCTGTGAGCATGTAATTTAGCCTCATCGGAAGGGAATATTCTGGCATGTCACCGCCGTACCGTCCATGCTTGTCGTTGTAGAGGCCCAGTGCAGCTGTCCGCCTCTTTTCGACGGGCCACACTGTGAGTGGAAGAGCTGCGAAGGCCAGCCGTGCGAGTGCCCACAGCAGGATGCCGGCGGCAGGTGGGGGTCGCAGCGGTCTGACCGTCGAATCCTCCGCCATTAGCCACTTAGCATTAGCATTCTGGATATCTTTGTCTCTGATCATGTCCAGCAGTGGTAAAATGCTGCTATACATGTACACGTGTCTTCCTCATCTCCTTTGCATCAGATGCTGTTATCTGGTTTATACCGGTATCATATTTTATGTCTTATCATCCTATATGGCCTTGATAATGCCGCAGAGACGTCTGGGACATCTATGGCAGATTTGTTTGGTGCATGTTTTGCAAAGCGACTTACCATTTTTTTCAAGTGTTCATGTACAAATAATTCATAGCCTGTTTTTAAAGTAAAATAAATAAGCTGCCAGTTTAAGAGGCGGAAATTATCGGAAAGTCATACCTGTGATACCTAGAATTGAGCTGTAGGTGGCGTCTTGCACAGAGCTAGTCTGGATCCAGTCTGCAAAAGTGAACACCCTCCTCTGCTGGTCCCGCTGCAGGTGCCTGAATGTGTCGGAGGATTGCTCTATGAATCCGGTGCTGTGCGGGCGTGTTCTGGAGGCTCCGGGGGCACTGGGCTTGGCATTGGAAATCTGTGGTGCGTTGTTTGGGCTCCTCCTGCTGGCTGGAGTCTTTGTCTGCGGCCGCAAGCTCTACATCCGCTGGCAGAAGCACAACGCCGTGGCCACGCGGATCCCTGGCATAGCTGAGGGCCGGTCCATGGAGTTGACCTCGGTGGGCGGCCCCGGGAACAACCTGGACCACGACCCCTTCAGGACCCTGAAGCCCCGGAACCAGCCAGATCTGGCGTCACTGGCCGAGGGCCACATGCAGAAGCCCGCGGGGCCAGTGGTGTGCAGTGTGGCACCAAACCTCCCCCCACCCCCGCCCTCTAACTCCGACAACGAGTCCATCCTCAAGAACCACTGGGAGCTGGACTATGATGGTGAGTGGGGCTGTGGGGGGCAGCTTTTACTACAGGTCATGTGGGGAGGCAAACTTTATCTAGCCCATAGGGCTACAATTCAAATTTTGTGTGACCCTGCCCCTGAGGAAGGTACTTAACCAGAACTTATACTATAAAGTTCAGGTCCAGAAAGTAAAACTCCAGACCAGGGTTTTAATTTAACCAACCAGTTGAGTATAAATAGTTACATTCACAGAATACTCAACTGGTTGGTTAAAACAAAATCTTGGTCTAGATTTTTACTTTCTGGACCTGAAATGACCACCTCTGCTAATATACAATGCAGTTTTAATATTTTTTTAGGATTTCTTTCGCATGTTCTTTGGAATAGTATGCTTAAGTATATATGTGTACGGCTAAGAATTTGCTCACACGGACATGTCAACAGCACAGTGGCCAGAAAGGACAGCATCTGTGTTAGCTTGTGGAATTGGGACCCGGATTCTGGGGCTGACTGACACCCCCCGACTGACCTCCCCACCTTTTCTCCCTCCCGCAGTTTACCCTGCTGACCCCGACTACTTCGGTCGGCCGACCGTCCAGGAGTTCCCGCAGTTCGACATCGGGGAGAACACGTACACCGCTGTGACCTCCGGTGACCCCCGCCGGAACTCTCGCTTTGGGGGCTTCCCCTTCCCGCTGGAGCGTGGTGATCGTCGGGCCCCCCTGCCGCCGTGCTACAGCAGCCAGAACCTGGACGACTTCCTGGGGCCCGACGGACAGCCGCTGCCCGGTCCGCAGTGCCCCAGCGAGTACACGGCCATCAGCTACTACCCCTCGCAGCCGCCGCGCAGCCTGGACGGCGGCTCCTCGGCCGGCTACCGGCGCCTCAGCGTGCGCCTCAGCGTGGCACAGCCCTCCTACTCGGAGGGCGTGGCCCCGCCCAGCCGCGCCTCCCGCACCCGCCACGGCTCCGACATGGCAGAGAGCGACTACGGCAGCTGTGAGGAGGTCATGTTCTAGGGAGGGGCAGAAGGCCCAGGATTACTTCGCTGGGCCACGATGCACCATACTGACCTCACCGTAGATACTGCGGCTACTGCGGCCCGCCGCTCAGCCTGCACAAAACGGGGGGGGGGCAGTCCTTCGGGGAAAACAGGAAGAGTAGCGCTCTTTCCGGTATAAGCCTGTCGCCGTGACTCCACCCGGTCCATTAGGGTGGCTGTCGGTCGGAGAACTTATCTCATGTAGTCCCTGTGTGTCCGTGTGCCCGATTCAGTGTTAGATATAATCTACGAAAGAAAAAAAGAAAAACGAAAAAAGATACTGTAATTCTAAAACCTGTGATGTGAATTTCTATGTAACAGAAACGTATATAAATATCTGTATATATGTGTGCAGTTCTGACAGTCACTCCACGTTGCGATGAAGTGACTGGACAAAGGCCCGGTTTTCTCACCCTTTTTTGGTAAAAGCATTCAGGGACCTGCCCACTTTGCGTTTACCTCACATTCTGTCCAAATATGGAACGGAGCTGGTTATAAGCGTGTCAATCAGACCCCTGGAGCTCCAAGCCTGCGGATGGCTTCATCTGACTGGAGCAGAGCTGACCATCAAATCTGAAACCTTGAGTTATCTGTGTGGAAGGTCCAGTGATAGTCATCTTAGAGTATTATCTACAGAGATTTATTAGAAATGATTTATTTTAAAACATTTCCCATTCTATAAACATATACGCATTGTGTAAATATATAGGCAACTAACTCACTTCTAAGTTCATGAATTCATGCATAATTATGTACGCACATTATTTTTTATATCTCTGTGTATGAAAATATTTTTATCTCTGACATGATTCAGTATAAAGAGGTCACAAATATAGAAAAGAAGGGCTGGTACCTATTAGTCGTTGAAAACATTGACACAGTGATGTAGTTTGTGTTACGGACTTGTTTTGTTCTTGCGGAGGAATGTACTTTGATGACAGAGCGAAGGCGAAATCTGCGGGATTTCACTTTCCGCAGGTAATAGAAACTTAACTGGACCGTGAGGCGTGTGCAAAGATATGGTACAAAACGAAGCATGTTCATTGCTGACCATCTTCTAGCTGCATAATGGACAATGCATCAAGTTTACATGAATGAATCCAGTTCTTTTTGCTGCAGCTCCCCCATCGACCATCATGCTCCCGATAGAGGGAATAACTGTATTTAACGGCGTGCGACAATGACATGTTTATGCAGTAGGGGTACGGTATGTGCTGTGTGCTTCGTAGAACTGTGTGTGTATGTGTTCTTGTGGCAGTAGCAATGCGTGTTTACATTGTTAAATGACACCACCGAATGGGTAGTAATTTGAGGCCAGTGGAGAAGCCTTTCTGGGTCTAGGCAGGGTGGTGCCAGAAGAGACACTCCATCTATTATAAGCCACAAAGTCTGAGGGCAGATTCCCATTTGTGGGCGGGGTTAGGGGTGTGGTCTGGGCGGAGTTAGTGAGATGCTGAGTGACCATCCGTGTGTGAGCTTTCTTATAGCCTGATGTAAATGTTCTTTATTTTCTGTCTCAATGTGGGCCAATCCCATGTTTTAAAGTTGTTTCTCTGTGAGAGAATTTTATGGTTGTTGTTACATTCTTTCGTTGATGTTCAATATTGTAAAAAAAAAAAAAGGAACATAATTAAAAAGTATTGTTTTGTATTATTTTAAGACTATTTTCTTTATCTTTCTGCTTATGGGCTTACAGCTTGTAAATCTCCTGGAATGTATTAATACACCTCACTAAGTTATGGGTGGCTTATTTATGATATTGTCATGGCTATCATGATGTCTTGGATATCAAAATATTACTGGTTATCACAATTATGTCCACTAGGGGGAGACACAACATGTTTGCCCTGGCTTGTGCTAAGAATCACTGAGCTGCGCCATCCCATTTTGAGGTGGGGGTGGGCGGTACTTTGGGCTTGATTTATGGCCTTTATGAAGTGAAATTCTGCAAGACCTAATCTTTTAATTTGGGGATAAGGTTCCCCTCTCTTCTGCCAAAAAGGACAAAGAGCAGCCGGATAAATGGGGGCGTGTGATTGGTCAGCTGTCTGCCAACCTTTTCCACTCTTATGGGAATCATAGTAGTCTAGTCATTAAATACAGGACTGCTTATTGAGATATTAAATATACGCAATAGCTACAGAACAAAGTCATGTGGGCTGGGTGGGATGATGGTCTGCAGTTGGGGTGTATAGAGTCTGGGTCTGCCAGGGATTCAGCCTCTCTGTGTGGTGTCTGTGTGAGTGTATTCGTCTGGGTGCCTGAGTAGATTTGTGTCTGTGTCTGGGAGTGCATGGGAGTGTACAGGTATATCACTGTGTATATGTGTGCGCTTGTGCCTCTCCACTGAATGGTTACGTCCTCCGCATCTGGATACCCCTGCATCATCGCACCCGACACGGCCCTCTGTAGCTTCCCCCGTACCCCTCCATGTCCTGCTTGTCAGGATGACATCTTCACCCACAGGTGGCTGAGATTCTCGGTGTGATCCGTGCGATGGATAGACCGTCCTTCATGAGTGTGCTCCAGAAGAAGCAAAACACCAGTGACCTCACGTGTCCCAGAAGTGGCAAGATACTAATCACACGCAATATATATGAATCATCCATCTATTCATTTTCCATAACCACATATGCAGCACAGAAGCCTATCTCAGAATGCACAGGGCACAAAGTACACCCTACATAGGATATCAGTGCACTGTAGATGTAGATCAGCAGACAAAACCTTCAGATATCTTCAGTTAACATAGTTTGATTCCAGATGAAGACAAAAAAAAATCAACAAACAATATTTTTGGCTGTAAGGGAAGCAGCCCTTCGATATACGCAGAGGACATTCTGAAATGTAGACAGCACCCCCAAGTGGCAGAAGGAGGTAACGCAGAGGCTTTGCAATTCACCAGATGCCTGCTGGGATGCTCCTCCGCTCTGTGTACATGACAGTGTTTTATTCAGGCCCTTGGAACAAACTTAGGCCCACAAATGAACATCTGGTTCTTTTTACCTTCCTGTATAGCTGAGTGGTCACTGTGAGGATAGAGATTTAATCAGTTCAAATCCATGAAATGCTGAGGTATGCAGTAAACCACCAGAGGTTTTTCCTTTTAAAAAAAACAGTTTAGATTAGCAAAAACAGAAGAAAACTATGTAGATATCTGAGTATTACAAAAAGACCATTTTCAGGGGATAATTAATATGTTAGCAAGTTACAGCTGTTCTGGGGTTATTGCAGTAAATTAAGTCTTGCAAGCTGAAGCAAACAATTTGCACAAGTGTCCCAACTTCTGTTGATAACTTACAAACCCTCTGTCTGTATTAAAACTTTGTTGGAACAGACTGTGTTACTACAAACTCTGAAGTATGGCTTGTACATTGCATATTCTGACGATAATGGTGAGAAAACATAAATAACAATAGAGATGATTATAACCCTTACAAATGTAGGGCTTTTCTTTAGAGAAATTGCGGCGAAAATCTTAGTGTAAGTTTCCAAAGGAAACTGCAAACTGGAGAAAACTCCGATATGAAAAGATCTGGCGGATTCCAAGTCACAAAACATTCAGAAGACAAGTTTGTGAGAGTCACCAGCTTGTGTGACAGAAGCCTCACGGGGCAACAGCTTCAAGCACAGCTTAACAGTGGTCACAGTAAGTCACTCTCACTTTCAACTGTGAAGAAGACCTCGAACTGCAGGATTGACAGGTCGAGTGGCGCCAAGAAAGCCGTCGCTACAGTGGCGAAATGAGGAAACGAGAGTCACCTGGGGCAGGAGCCACTGCCAGTGGCCTACAGAAGACTAGAAGAAAGTTCTATGACCGATTAATCAAAATTTGACATCTCTGGTTCAACATGTAGGGTGTTTGTATGCCGTTGAGTTGGCTAAAGGATGGTTCCTCAATGTGACACCAATTATCAAACATGGAGGAGGAAATGTGATGGTCTGAGACTCTTCTACCACTTACGCAGTGACTGGCATTCTGAACCAATAGGGTGACCACAGCATTTTGCTGTGCCATGCAGAACCCCCTGGTCTGTGTCTAATTGGTCAGGACTTCATCCAATAGCACAACAACGACCCAAAACATACCTGCAGGATATGTCAGAACTACATTAAAAGAAAATATCAAGATGGCACTCTTAAAAACATGGATGGCCAGCAGTCTCCAGACTTCAACCACATGGAGCTGGTTTGGGATGAATGGGACAGGAAGGTGAAAGCAAAGCAGCCTGCAAGTGCAACACATTTATGGGAACTTCTGCAGCAGAGTTGGGATTGGGTTTGTAAACTAAATGATTTCTTGACTTTTTCTGTTTCTTATTTTCGATTTTTATTGGTTCTAAGCTTTGATTTCACCGAATAATGAGACATTAATCCCGCATACATTTTCCTGAAACTGGAAAAAAACTGAGGTTTTCTAAAACTTTTCACCAGTAATGTTTTTGTAATTATTATATTGTGGGAACCCAATTTCTCCACAATATGATATGACAAAAAAAGCACATAACTCTTTGCCTTGTGGGGACATTTTTTTTCCGGCGTATTGCTTAGTAAAATGGGCAGCGTCGTGAGCTGTATAATGACCCACTGTCCGTATCTAACATGTAATGCAGCATGTATTCAGTACTGCAGGGCTGCCAACTCTCACGCTTCTGATGTGACACTAAAATATCTTACAGCAAATATATTATTTCATTATAAACCTAAAATTAGCTGCATCAAAAGCATTGCTGTAGTTTGCAAAACCTACAGACTATTTACAAGGTAATAAAACTGTCACATACATGTGCATATGTGTGCAGACTTGAATTAAAACACCGAATTGAAAATCTCACGCCAGTCAGCTGACCGAAGTTGGCAACCTTGGTGATGTGTTTGTGTTGCCCAATGCAAACGCCAGTAGACATTTGAGTCCAGGCTCCTACCTGCTATGCCACTCAGTGTTTCAACCAAGGATTCCTCTGTGTTTGCATTAGCATTATCCTTGGATGGAGTGCAAATGACTGGAGTGTGGTTGAGCATGTAAATGAGAAAGTGCGTATCAGGATTCTGTGCTCATGAACAGAAGGTTTCTGGCTCAAATCCCTTGTCTGATGGTGATTTCAGGGTTTAGCCCTTGAGCGAGGTCCTTAGGTCCAGTTACTCCTGGGACGGTCTGACCCTGCTTTCACAATTATACATCACTTTGAATCAGCTAAACAAATGCAATGTGAAAGGCTGAGGCTGGGCAGGAATGTTTGGGGGTTTGTTGGATTGTCTCTCAGGTATAACAACCATGGTTGACAGCATCAGCCTCAGTTCTAACCACAAGCCTCCTAATCAGGCCCTTAGATAAATGAAGAGAGACTGGACCAATAAGAGGAGCTGTCACAGTGTGGCCTGATTTCTGCCTTACCTTAGTCTGTTAGGGCTAGCAGCTTTTGTCTAGCATATATCATCAAAGTGTGCAAAGATCTCGGTGGTACCGGTCACTTTTCTATTGTACTTTAATTGCTGGAACATTTATGTTTCATTACACCTTCTTATGTCACTCGTTCAAAGAGACTGGAACATTTGGGTCTCTTACGCAGCTGGATATGACACTATGGCTGCCTTTCTCAAGAGGGTAACAATAGAAAATCACTGGGTGATGCAGCCATCTCTGTATTAATAATACTACCTACTACCGATGTGAACCAGATTATTCAGAAACCCCACACTGAAATATTTCCATTAATATTCACCCTTAAGTCCATTTTGTGAATGATGCTTATTGTGTTCTCTAGGGTAGTGTTTCTAAAACTGGTCTCCGGGGACCACCAGACAGTCCACATTTTTGCTCCCTGAGCTATGTGGGAGCAAAAACATGGACTGTCTGGGGGCTCCTGAGCACCGGGTTGAGAAACACGGCTCTAGGGCACTGGATTATCAGGCCCATTATAATTCGGAACTAGGCATCATGGGAACATCAACGGTGGAGCACAGAAAACGGGCCCCCCATGCTGTCAGACTCGCTCGCTCTGTACAAAAATACCCCAGCTGCTGACTCGTCACGAGGTTCGATTACTCATCGCTTCATAATGCTCCTCTCTCATCTTCTGCCAGGTCAGAATGAAAATGAGGGGACATAAGTCTGTCCATTGTTCGCTGTTTCTTTTTGGACAAGCCCAGTGGAGCCAGGAGGCGGCCCTGGTTCCTGGGGTCTCCAGCTCCACCTGCTCCTGCATATCATATACAGAGCTTATGGAATATTATTTAGCATATATATAACGGTGAGAGAAAGTAATCAATAGGATATTTTCAAAAAGAATGCCAAATACTGATGATGTAATCATTACAATGTAATCGTTATAATGTTTCTGACAGCTCTGCCGCTTATCACTGTGTTGAAGATCAAACATATTATCAACCCTGTAGCTAAGCAATGTGTAACAAGCTGTAGCTGCCAAGATTTGCTACTGAGGAGAAGGGAATCGCCAAAAGTTTGCCAAAAGCTCACTGCTGAGTAATTTAAGAAAACCAAGTTGGGACAGTCATGCCACAATTATGTTCAGCCAAGGGACCAATCAGTAAAAAAAAATGGTTGACAATCTTATTACCCAGGGGTGTGGATCAAGGGAGAAAACAATGATGGTGAATGGTTGAGGGAATGATGATGTTTAAGTGATGAGATATTGTTAAATGATAAGAAAATGTATAAAACTTTGTGTAAAAAAAGTATTGGACATAGTTGCAAACGTCCAGCCTTGGCTATAATCTAACTATCGCAATAAAGACTGAATCTGGATCTACACAAGCAGCTTCTGATCCTGATTTGGCGGAGAAGGGAAAACCCACAACAAGCTCTTGTGTAATTCCTTGGGAGTACACACATTTTGAATACTTGGAGGTAAACACTGTAGTCTGCCATCTTGCTGGTGTTCTCTAAACTTGGTTTACTCAACTACACCCACCTTTGATGCCGAAATGGTGCCAAATGTTGAGACAAAAAAATGGTACAAAAGTGGGTAGGTTTCTAGTGAGCACCTAGTTCTGAACTGAACAGGTACATGGAAACAGACTGGAACCAGTTCTATATTAGTGGAAAAGCGAGAACAGAGACCTGATTCAGAAAACTACAGGGGTGAGGGATTCTCGAGCATAAATTACGAATGTCTAATAGAGAGACTTTAAAATCAGGTCCTTCACTGTTTGACCATGACCACCATGTGACAGTCATTGTTTGGTCAACAGTCAAAGTGGCTATTTTGAGACCAGGCAGCATTTGATATATCTTGCCGAATCCGCCTTACGGAAGTAGATGTCTCAGTTCGCCTGGAGCCCGATGCAGTGCGCGCTCTCCCCCTCTGAAGTCAAAGAGCAGTGGACGAGTGGCTAAAAGTAGACGAGGCCTCGAGCTGCGATGGATGGCTGCGATGATTGGCAGGCGAGGAATGTGGCTGTGTTGGCCATTCTGGGTCTGTCTGCACGTGTGCATTTGCCGTGTTCGTCTCTGCTGTGGATCTCTGATTTCACACTCGTAAGCACTGGCATACAATCCAGGCAGATGTCACACGTCACACAGAGCCATCGACTCTTCGACGCAGACACCAGCATATAGACCTTGGCTATTTTCTCCCTGTTGTGATTTCTAGCTCTAGTTTGTCATTACTTTTTTAAAACTCTCTTTACCTTGCTATATCCTATGTACGCGTCATTGACTTTTTGAAAAGTGGTATATAAATAAAATATGCCGTGTCCCGGAAGCCAAAAAGGGCTTGAAGGCAGGTATCAGGAAAACAAGGGGGCTTTATTCAGTAATACAAAAGCAGGGAAACAAAACAAAACTGTGAAGTTTAGCACAGGAAGGGGCCCAGGCAATTGGAGGACAGACAGTAATGATCTGGGGATGGTGAGACAAGCAGGCCAATAGGATGTTGGGTTACATCTCTAGGTGTGTGGAGTTTAAGGGAGGTGATGCTATGATTATACAATTCCTTGGCAAGACCCCACCTAGAATGTTGTGTGCAGGTTTGGTCACCATATCTTAAGAAGGACATTGCTGCCTTGGAAAGGGTGCAACGTAGGGCTACAAGAATGATTCCTGGTCTTAGAGGAATGTCTTATGAGGAGAGGTTAGCTGAGCTGAATCTGTTCAGCCTCGAGCAAAGGAGACTAAGGGGTGATCCAGGTATGTAAGATTCTAACACGTCTGGATGCTGTTCAGCCAAATGACTATTTCAATATTGGTTTAAATACTAGAACTCGTGGCCACAAGTGGAAATTAGCGGGAGAACATTTTAAAATGAATTTGAGAAAGCACTTCTTTACACAGCGTGTAGTTAGAGTATGAAATAGTTTTCCTGTTAGTGTAGCGCAAGCTAAAACCTTGGGGTCCTTAAAATCTTATCTAGCTCTGATTTAAACAACTCTGAGCTATTAGTTAAGTTCTCCCCAAACGAGCTTGATGGGCCAAATGGCCTCCTCTCGTTAGGAAATTTCCTATGTTCTTCTTATGCTAGGTACTTAAGTATAGAAGAATAACAAGAGGGGAAACAAGAGGGGTAAAGGAGTAAGAGGTGTGGCTTGTTAGGGCTGTCACAGGGAGGAGGCGGACAGAGATATAACAAAACATATTATTATTATTATTATTAATAATAATAATAATAATAATAATAATAATAATAATATGTGTATTACCTTTGAAGTCATACACTCCTTTGTCATACACTTTCAAATACAAGGCCCAAGTGTATTAATGATGATCGATGATGACATCAGACATAACACTTAATGAGCAGATGCTATTATCCAAAGCGATGAGCATTTTTGAGAATGCAAGGTCATATGATCCTTTGGAGCAACTGGTGTTTAGGGCCCGTGCTCAAGGGACCTAACAGAGAATTCACTCTGCCGCCCCAGGGAATGAAGGCGCCAACCTTCTGATCGCATACACAGCGCCCTGAGACGGCGCCCTGTCCTACTGAGCCGCTCAGCAGGCCCAGCCAGTCTGCTCTGTGCTATATGCATGGTACATGGTACGGTAAATGGTACAGTACATGGTATGGTACATGTTATGGCAAATGGTATGGTACATGGTACAGTACATGATACGGTACATGGTATGGTACATGGTATGGTACATGGTATGGTACATGGTATGGTACATGGTATGGTAAGTGCAAGACAAGGGAAGAGATGCAGTCAAAGAATTTTGGGTCCAGATTAAGAAGGAAGGAGGTGAGGAAAACAGGAAAACGTGAAACAGGAAGACGTCTCCTACCTGCAGGCAAACTGGCGTGGGGGACACTGCTTGGTCTGATGTATTGGGGTCCTCAATGCCACAGATAAAAGACGAGCCCCTTTCCTCATTTCCATGCCAACAGCGAGCATGTTTTCTGCATCACTGTCCGGTTTAACCCAGTGGGAAGTAACCATCTGGAAATGGGTTAAACCAGTTAGTCTGAGAGTGCACACTGGTTTCTTCCACCAGGCGCCTGCACACACCCCCTCCTCCTAATGCTTTCTCGGGGGTGGAGTTAAAATGTATATTTACAGGAGAGAAAAGGCCAGAGGATCAAATGATTAATGCGTAGAAAAAAAAATCTGACAATCCATCAAGCAAACAGAGACATCTACAACAGACAAATATAGTGGAAATCATGCATACAAATCCCAGTTATGCATTCAAAGTGGGTCCCTCGTATGAGGCTCCGTCCTTACAGCACACCTCAGCCCTTGGTGTCTTGTTATTTCTCAGAAATGGAAAATGTTTCGTAGAATTATAATTACCACACTGTGCACTAATTTCCATGTCTAGCCAGCAGCGAGTTGTTAGTTAAAAGCTGAATTCAAAATACTTGCCCCCACTAAGGTGGGAAATGCATTGCGCTTGCTTTTTTTTTTTTAAACGATTTGCATATGACAGAAAGCACAATAGCACATAGTTGAAAAATATGATGGGAAAAATGCAATTGTTGGCAGTAAAGTCTTTAGCCACCAGGTCTCAAACAAACCGTTAGTGTTAAACAGTGTTGAATTTTAAATGTGTTGGCTCGGAAAACATAGTCTCAATGTTTAAGCATCACACAAAGTTAATGGAACAATTAATACCGCAACAAGTGAATCACTAATTTTGAATCAGAGCGTAGCCATTCGGCCAAGAAGTGGCGGCACGGCAAGGAAGCGGTTAAAGAAAATGAATGTTAAATTGCGCAGAGAGGACAGGGCGGCGAGGAGAGCGGCTAATCATTTATGAAAAGGGCAGGAATGATTGGTGATGTACCGGAGAGAGACGCACCTGAAGCAGCAGAGGGGCGACTTACCGGAGAGGAGCGCGCACCTGAACTGCGGATAACGGTGCATCCGGACTGGGGAGCGCACGCATCTCAACACTGAAATATCATTAACCACAAAAAAAAGACATCGGAGGAAAACGGTGAACATGAAACTCCACAATGTTCCAAATCAAACTCTTTGATAGCGAGTCTCGTTCGTTGATCGCGACAGTAACAGCTGAATAAAAGGAGCGGCGAACAAAGAATGAAAGAGAAAGATGAATCAAGGTGTTTGTGAATGGAGACAGCGCTGCTTGGAGTCTCACTATGATGTACTACACTGGCTGTCCTAAACGAAGAAGGAAAAAAAAACACGCGAGTTATGCTGGAGTTCAAATTAATTCCATGTTTTTATTTTATAAACACAGAACATATGGTTCGGAGAGTTTAATTTTGCATCAGTAAGCGATGAGTTTAAACCGGAGTTATCTCTGGTAGTCGATGTGGAGGACATGAAAAGTTAAAATGAAAGCTTGAGAAGCCTTCTTAAAAGTAAGATCACGAAGGAAACATGTACCAGGCTCTGATGAATATGAACTGAAAATGTAGGCTAAATATATACCGCGGAATCATGACTGAATGGAAACTGAATGGAAGATAACGGGACCTGTTGATCGGCCCCGGTCATTGCCATTTCCTGCGTTTTTCTTTAATGGGAATATCACCCTTAAACACGTGATGTGGATTTGTGTACAAACTTATGCCAACTTCCACTGAACTAAGTGTCCGTGTGTGACAAGAGAATCAAATGGTTTTACGGATCCGGCGAGTGCTAGACACCGAGGTCGGCTCACAGGCACCGCCCGTCTCCCACTCGGAAGGGGATCTGAGGATGTCCGAAGGCAGCCCCCCTCCGCTAATAAACGCTTCTGCCGCAGATGAGGGCACGGAGGACCCCCGGTTCCCATGGGCGGTCTCTGTATTGGCCACCGTCCTCATCACCACTATTGTAGTAGATATTTTGGGCAACTTGTTGGTGATTCTCTCCGTCTTAAGAAACAAAAAACTCAGGAAAGCAGGTAAAGTTGGTCGGCATCTATTTTCCGTTAAGTTCCAAACTACAAGATGTAGGCCTAGTAATTTTTAGCATAATGTGTCAGTCAAGATAATATAACATTTTTGTCAGTGAAGATATTTCTTAAATCCTCGGATATTTGTGTAGAAAGAGGCTACAATGGATTTTAATGAAGTAACTCTGGAGCTTCGATGCCGCGTATCTTTCTCGTGTATTTCAGTTCATAACTCGCTGAAATCTTATTATAGAAACATGAAAAACGCTGACTAAATCCGTAATCTGTCTTCTTTTCAAAACGTCCATTGTCGGAAGTATTAAAGGTTAAATCGGCAAAAAATGAAACCATGTCACCTTACTTTGCTTTACCTGCATCGGGGGCGTGTAGTACCGCTGTCACCCGAAGATCGCTATTCACATGCTAAAGAGCCGCATTAGCGCGTATTCAAATCGCATTCGCATGGTAATTTGATGAACAGCGCAACGGTGAAACGCGATCCAGATACATCCCCTTCAGCGCCATAAAAGGGGGTTGGGGACGTGGCCAGGTGACAATGGCTCATTCATACACATGAAAGTTGCTACATAATCAATGAAAGGAGCCAGAAATAGTTACATGAGTTAGGTTTTTCTTATTTATTTATCCAAAATGAATGTTGCAACTACACCATTTAGTCATCTTCATGTAGCCAAGACTTTGCTGATCAGATATCTGGGATCAAAACAAACTGCCACCATTGCTTACTATGTACTTTTATCATGTTTCTAACTGTTCCAAACTGCATTTTGCAATGTCTATACTTTGATGTCAAATTACAAACTTCACATGAATCTGACATATTTACAAAGTACACTAAAATTAAGATGAGTTTAATGCCAAAACAAATATATAAGAAATAATTTATTTGCCATGAATTAAGTTGATATGATATTGAATGAAATGTGTGACCATGCCCCAGTCAGTGAAAGTGTGTTCTCTACCCCTAGACCCCAGAGGGGAGTCAAAACGGCTTTGACAGTCACGTGGCACGTTTTAAAAGCGTTTCAACACAATTACCTACCCTTCCTCCGTCTTCTTCCCCATTTGCCAAACGTGCTGGACCCACAAGTAGATCCACCTGCTTTTCATTGCCCTACACACATGCATCCACCTTTAGGATAATAGCTCCCGTTTCCCCATGACAAGTTTGGGGCGCTGTAAGCGCTTTATAAGACACGGGACCCTGAGCACCTGAATCCGTGCGCATCAGCTCACCGCAATCCAAATTCTGAGCCGTTTACCGCATATAAAACACCAGCCGTCTTTAAACAGTCGACTAGGCTGTCTGTTCTGAACAGCAAAGTCTGATTTCGGAAATGCTAATCTAAAAGGAAGTCCACCAGCGGCTTAAACGATATCTGTTCGATTGGCGAATGAGCCGTTCCCAAGCTTTTCCGTTTACTCTGTCAGTCCGTCAGCCAGTTCATCTATCCATCATTTTAGGCACAAGTGTCAAAGTGTTCATATTTTTCCACCGTCATATCCCGGCTGAGGGCAGTTCTAGCTGTGCGATTAATCTGAACGAATTCGCATTTTCCGTCAAAATAAACTTTGCTTTCGAAGATTCATAAAGGAGCGCTAATCAGTTTAGCCAGGATTCACACATTAATCTGATGTTCGGGCAATTGACCTGGTTAACTTTGTGGCCTTCATTCCGTCAGATTTCCTCTTATTTTACAATTAAAGTTATTTTTTACAGTTCAAGCTGATTTTATTCATTGCAATGTCATGAAATGCATATTCAACAACACACCGCTATAGGTCCACTGCCATTGAAACATTGTTGCATTACAATAAATAGTTTTGTATGCGCTTTGCAAATGATCACTTTATCTTCACATCATTGTCAATACCCACGTTTACTCATTTGTTTTATATTTTTTAAAACAACCTTGTCCCATCGAGACATTCCTATTGAAAGACAGGGTCTCCCACCGCATTCTTCAGGGCTCTGATCCTCAGGATCATCAGACTGTATGAAAATGCTTGGTGCACGCTGAACAGTATCCATGGCAAACACCACAATTCATTATCTGCATTCAGCTGAATGGTTTTATATGTGTCATTCAAATTAATTACATTTTTAAAGTCTACAACAATTATTTTCTTGTTAGGATCTAAGGGAGATTGTAGCAGTGTGTAGTTTGGCAGCTTAATGCTGGATGGAAAATGACAGGGAGGGTTGTCTCCATGTAGAGTATCTCTCCATCTGATCATGGTTCCCATATTGGGGTCCTCAACTAGACCCAGGACCCACATTATTACTCAGTCATGAAGTCACAACCATAGATTTTTTTGTTTGCTTGTTTGTATTTGCTTGTTTGTTTGTTTCACCATAAATGGAGAGGGGCTGCTGGCAGTTAAAAAAAAAAAAAAAAAAAAATCTGGGATGACATTGCACATCATTTGTGACCAAAAAAGCCTGATATTACAAAAAAAAAATATAAACATTTTTTTTAACCACACAGTTTGTGACCCAATGAAAATGGTTCCATGACGCACTTCAGGGTCAGAGCCCACTGGTTGAAAACCACTGGTCTACAAAACCAGCAGCATGTCTGTAACGATTCAACTCACCAGGACACAAACTGTGAGCAGTCTGACTGACAGACTGAGACCCTTTTATGTAAGCTGTGTGGGTGTTTTTGTTGGTGAAGCGAAAGTCAGTCTCAGTTAATGTGAAAAAAGTCATGAATTAACCATATCTATGCCATTAGTGCATCTAAAAATATATCAGTGTTCAATATTCTATATATAATTCCTGTTTTGCTTCTGGATGTATATTTGGTGTTAATTCCTACAAAAGTACCATCATTTCCCTGATCTCACCTGCCTCCACATTGCCATTATTTTTGTGGGCAAAACATCTTGTTTTCCAAGCAGGTCAGATGTTCTCAGGTGACACTGGTACTGAGCAGTTAGTCTGGGTCTTCGTCAGGTCAAAAGCTACATATCATTAAATAGAAATGTAAGGATGGTCAGATAAATGTTAACGCTGAAGTGCATTGAGGGTTTACTCAGAAAAAGGCGTCTCACTTTTGTCTTTGACAATCAGTATGAGTTTCCTGTCCATGCTAAATGTCTCCCCTGTCAAGCTCTTGTCCGTCACTCATTTACATATTAATGACATTGTGTCATTCTCCTGCTCCTTCATCATCTCATCAAATAAGTCCTTGTCACAACAGCCTCAATTCAACAATGCTTCTGTTCCAAAAGTGTTTCACTCAAATCACTGCTGAAACTCAACAAGAACAAGATTGCTTAACACTCCATGCACCAAGCATTTAAGCATTCTGCTTCCTTATATGTTACTTTTGCATTCCAAAATGGGTCCATTTCAGATATTCATGCGTAACAACAATGACGATAAGTGTGAAAATATATCACAGAAACTGAGGTGTAAAAAATCAGTGGGGTCTGAAAAAGTGGAAGGAGGAAGTGACATAAAAAGGGGAGGGGACAATGAAGGTAACGAAGTGGGACCACAAGAAAGAAGTTATAGCAGGTGGAGTTGTGATGTTATCTCAGCAAAAGCCCATGGCAGAATACTTTTCAGACAGCGAACCTGTCTGTCACGGGTGTAAACCTGCTGTCTGGGAACCTACAAGAAAGCCAGTTCCTTCACTTGCCTTGTCAACAACATTTAGCTGATAGTCTGGCTGGAAGTGTAAACACTTGAGTAATTCACTCAGTTGGATTGAGATGCCACAGTAGAGAGAATGTGACAGTTTTATCAATGATAGATAAATGGTTTGTATTGTCAAGATTGTCATTGTCTTTTTATTGGCACATTTAGTCAATGTGGTTTTGTAGAATCAGATTTGTTTCTTGTTGATCTATTGATTTTTTAGTTTCATATGTTGTATGCGCTGTCTCTGACATTGCTGCATCTGTTGTCTTTTGTTTATCTGGCCCCACCATGAAAACTGAATCTTGGAAATGTACTTGCCCTATCAGCGGGTACCTACCTGTATTCACTGAGGCGGGTTTGAGGAGGTGTTGGGCTACTCAGAGCCGGGCTCAGGAAACCCGATTACGGGGCACCTCCCACCGGTCCTGCTATAGCTCAGGAATCACGCCGTCTCCAGGGAAACCACAGCGCCCCCACTCATCTTTTTATAATCCCGGCTCCCACCTGGCAGATTTAGTCTGTAAGCTTGTGTATTCAAGTCGGGTAAATCCTTTGTTAGTGACACTGAGGGCATGTGCTCCAGGGGACTCAAAAGAGAGAGAAAAACCTCAGCTGACAGTTTGGACTCACACAAGGGCCACTAAAGTCTACTGAAGTGAACTTGGAAGTCTCGCCATCTTACTGCTTACAAAGAAGAAACGGTAATGACAGTTCGCAGAAGAAGTGAAATAATCAGCATCTTAATAGCCTCCCATTTCCTTGGATCCTACATCCCTTTCTTCCTTTTAGCTGATGATAAAGGTCAAATCCTCAGTCAAACGTCCATATTTCAATGGCTAATTATATGTCGCCTTATTACACAGAACAAGGGAGGACATGAACTGGCGTGAGATTCAGACCCAAGGGTCTGTTATCTGATGCCATTTTCAGGTGTGACAAACCAGCTTTTTCAGTGGTAGCACAATGGGGCCAGCGTCCGCATACAGCTGTGTATCTGAGACCATGAGTGTTACTGATGGGGGGGGGGGACGGACGGACGGGTGGGATGCATCCTGTCCAATATCCAAAGCAGAGAGGACAGATTTGACTCAGTCACGTAATGGATCTGCCCCCCCCCCCCCCCCCGCCCCCCCAGTATTGAGAACAATTGTTGTCTGGGACATCTTCCGCACTTGGGGAGGTGTTCTCTCTGCACTGCACGTGTCCTGCATCCGCCACTGCCAATAACAGCCCCCACTCGGCATCCCTCCCTGTCCCTGAGCTATTTTATATCTGCAAAGTGGCCGTTTCTGACAGAAACGGCCGGGTTCACATAAGCGAGACCTGGAGTGACCACCCCACATCCTGCTAGGCGGCGCCTTCACCGATCAAGACCCGAACTCTGCTGCATTTCCTGCTTGCCCCGTAGGAAAACGAGAACCGCCTTTAATTAACGGCAGAAGTTTCATAGCTGATATCTTATATTAGTTTTACCTTCGTATCTCCTCCGATTATTCATTCGGAACACTCGGCAGACCTTAAGTTTTAACTTCTAATAAAAGTCTAATCCCTGGGTTTTCTCTGCGCAGGAAATGCCTTCGTGGTGAGTCTGGCTGTGGCAGACTTAGTGGTGGCCATCTATCCCTACCCCCTGGTCCTCTCCGCGATCTTCCACAACGGCTGGATCGCCGGCTACATCCACTGTCAGATCAGCGGCTTCCTCATGGGCCTCAGCGTCATCAGCTCCATCTTCAACATCACCGGCATCGCCATCAATCGCTACTGCTACATCTGCCATAGCCTCAAGTACGACAAGCTCTTCTCCAACAAGAACACCGCGTGTTACGTGGTCCTGGTTTGGGTGCTGACCACGCTGGCCGTCATCCCCAACTGGTTCGTAGAGTCGCTGCGCTACGACCCGCGGGTATACTCCTGCACGTTTGCGCAGTCGGTCAGTTCTCTGTACACCATCACTGTGGTGGTGGTCCACTTTATCCTTCCCATCAGCATCGTCACATACTGCTACCTGCGCATCTGGGTCCTGGTCATCGAAGTCCGCAAGCGCGTCAAGCCCAACAACAGGCTCAAGATCAAGCCGCACGACTTCCGCAACTTCCTCACCATGTTTGTGGTGTTCGTGCTCTTTGCCGTCTGCTGGGCGCCCCTGAACCTCATTGGCCTGGCAGTGGCCCTCGACCCCCGGCTGGGTCTCGCCATCCCGGGCTGGCTCTTCACCTCCAGTTACTTCATGGCCTATTTCAACAGCTGCCTGAACGCAGTCGTCTACGGTGTACTCAACAGCAACTTCCGCAAGGAGTACAAGCAGATCGTGCTGACCATCTTCAGACTGCGCTGCTAAGGGGCCGAGGGCATTGGCCAGCGACTGACTGGATCAGAATAGGGAACCAGGGCTGAATTCAGGCATAGGCAAACTAGGCATCTGCCTGAGGGTCCTGACAAAGTTACCATATACATCAAATGTAAATGTTTATGTGCAGGCAGAAACATGGCCAGTTCTGGCTAGAACTGAATTACGTGCGTTGCAGCGAATGTGAAGTGACAGTGCTGGGGAAGTTACTCACAAAAGTAATCCATTACAGACAGAGGTGGAAAGTTCAGGTCAAGAAAGCACAAATCCAGACCAAAGTTTTGTTTCAACCAACCAGTTGAATATAAAGAGTCACAGTCACAGAGTACTTGGTTGGTTGGGAAAAAAAAAAAAACATGGTCTGGATTTGTACTTTCTGGGCCTGAACTTTTCATCTCTGTCTTTTGTAGAAGCTTCCCCAACACTGTGAAATGATAAGCAATTTCTGGGTATCAGGGCCTCCCAAGTATAGCTTTGCCTGATGTTCCTGAAAAGGTATATCTGGTCTTGCAGGGAATAACTGAATGTAAATAAAAATATGCATTATTGATCCAAGCTGATTCATTGACACCATGGAGCGTTTTGAAGCTGCTCTCCAGAATTGCTCACTGAAATTTACTATATGTGAAGATGTGTGTCCTTGTGTGTCTGTGTATTTCTTATGCAAACACAGTTCTTCTGGAAGCTGATGATTGCTACTCTTCCAAAGAAACATTTCTACGTTATTAATCAATAGGGTTGATCAATAGGATGCACATATTTAGAGGCGAAGAATAAAAGGCCGTCACAATTAGAAAGAGCTCATATCTTGCTAAACTTACCTCTTGACACTTTGTGTCCTACACTGCAGAGATTTGTCACATCTGAACAGCAGTTCAGACATTCACAGTTGATTTATTACTTACCGTGTGTGGCGTGATCTGTGATAGTTATCCGTGGGCGGCGAAATTCAACGTGCAAGCTGTCAGAGCAACAACACGGCTACAGGTGTCGTGGAGATGCAGCTGACAGTCACTCGTCTGGTTTCACGGGTGTTTCTGCGGCCAACGGCACCGGTCCGATGGGTCCCCTTAAATGTGCCAAACCCTGATTTACCAGGTTCAGAGACTCAAAAACCAGTTTGCTCTTTGCATGTTCAAGGAATCCACAAACACAGGGAGGATCCTCCATTAGAATATCACAGTCAGTTAAGGTGGAGATTCTGTGAACGATTGTGAGAGTTCCCAGAGTCGCTTATTCTCCGGAACTTGTTTGTTGTGGTTGTAGCACAAACAAATGGTTTCACTAAGAAATACACCCTGAGCAGCAGGGAGATACAACTGAAATCACTCGTTTTGTCACAATTATCAAATTTGCGTGACCAGGTCGGCTGTCCCACAAAAAAAAAATGGACAGATTAAAATAACTTGGCTCTCGGCAAGTTTATGGCATGGCTGAGTTCATTAAAGTAATAAAAAACAGAAAAAGCCACCTATATGCAATCAAATTATCAAATTATACTGTTACGGGTTTCCTGCTCCAGGACGCATAGCAAGCAAACAACAACCAACCAACCAAAACAAAATGATAGATGCCCCCTGGACCTTATTTTTTAATTATCCATATAATCACACATTAGTGGGGAGTGGGGGTTGGGGGGGAGGGGGGTCGGTGTCCTTAGCGTTTGTCTACTTTCATGTTGAAAAAAGTTTAAAACCCCTGTTCTGTACAACGAACAGCAAACTGTTACCTACAGTCTGTGCAAATGGAATTACACAGATCACTGAATCCTAAAAGTAGCCCATCATGTGAGATAAAAACATGAAATAGGAGCCTGTTTCTGTCACAGTTACAAAATACGTTGTCATGCAGCTGAAGTGCCACAGGCAGTGAGTAAAATGCTTTATGAGCTATTTTAAAACTCAGGGTTTCTGAGTCTTGATTCAGGGACTGCTATGTTTAAGTTGTCAAGTAATTAAGCTTAAGTGAGCAGGGGACTAAATTACTGTGACCATGGGAAGTTTTGAAAGGTTTGTGGTCTTTTTGATGTTTGTTTGTATTGATGAAACGGACATGAAAAAAAAGAAAAAAGAATGTACTTAAATTAAGAGTCGTTATTATGGTTTCTGTCAATAAATGTCTGTTTGATTAAAGAACGGCTTGTTCATTGTCTGCTGAAGCTGGTGGGAGCCAGTCTGCGGTGGATGTGACCCAACATCGACAGCATCTACCACCCCCCTTCGTAAATGCTACTGTTCTTGGGGGGCGGCTTGTGGCAGAGTGGTGGTCTTTGCTGGTGTCTGAAAGGTCACTGGTTTGAATCCCGTGGCCAGCAGAATAATCACATGACGGTTGGGTGCCTGAGCAAGGCCCATTCCCCTAACTGCTTTATGGGATGCAGGCTGACCCTACACTCTCACCCCAAGAGCTGCTCTCACCTGTACACACGTCTGTGTCTCTCACATGGCGCAAGATGGGGCCAATGAAAATCAAAAGGATTCCTATGTATCTGTACTCGTACTGTACTCAAATGGCAAATAAATCATCTGAGTTTCATTGAAGGTCTGCAGTCAACAACAGCAGTAACATTCGACGTGGAGGCTGATAATAGTTAATAAAAGCCACCAGACTGCAAATGTGATGCCATGAATTTGTGCTTAATTCATATGAAACATTGAGGTGTTATGAAGGTGGCCAGTCTGTAAAGTGGACAGAAAGACTAAGCTAAAATAAGGAGGGTTTGCTCTGTCCCACAGTTCTTAACCTCTGCAAGCGTCTGAAACGCCGTCGCTCCTCTTCATCCTTCCTTATGCTGTGTTGCCATTTTAACGCTAAAGACCAGTAGAGAGCTTCCAGCTCCGAAATCCTCCTGAAAAGCCATTATGTGGTGGAGTGGACAATTTCACTGGCAGAATGTGTTTGGTCACGAGGCCCGTGGAACAGACTGATAAACTGAGTGTTTGCTGCTGGCAGTGTTAACGGGAGCGTTTCCTGCTTGGGGAAATCGCCAGCTTCTCACTCAGCACACTGTTACCGAGGGCTTGTGGGGGAAAGGTTCAGCTTGTGATAATGGCAAACAGAAATACAGTGTGTTGTTTGCCCCCAGGTAAGCCCAGCTAAAGATGAAAGTCCACATTGGAAAAGTTCTGAATTCTGCTAACCTTGGTCTTATAGAGCAGTAAACTACTGGATTAGTAACCTTTTTGTTAAGGCCGTGGTATTTGAGGACTAGAAACCACAAAAACTGTCTTTAGATGATAAATATCGCAGGCAGCTTTCGTTTGCTTTTTCTCCCCAGAGGACGCTGAAATGACAGGCAGTCTTTGGGAGTCCTGGGGTCCTGGGCCTTGTGTTACCAGCCCAATCACCTGATGAGCTTTCATTATATATGTTGATTGCTCCAGGTGTCTAACGACTTCAATGCAGGCTGTAAACAGCAAGATGCAGGAATCTGATTCCGAACACATGTGATTTGTATTGTGTGAGGTCTCTAAGAAAGAAATACCTGCTAAAATTACCCAGAAGACTGATGGACATTGATAGCTCCTTGGAAGGTGAATATACAGTATGTTGGCAATGTGAAATAGTGTAAACATGAATAGGAACTGTCATATCCTTATAAATGATGTAATTTAGTATGTTTTACAATGCAGTTCATTAAATTTACAGTTTTCCCCCATTGACATGATGTGACAATTCTACAGATGGTATTAATAAGGTGATAATGATCTGACAGGCAACCAAAGCAAGGAGATAAATGGATTAAAGGCAATTTATTCCTGCATGGACCAATGTGACAGCAACAGCAGAATGTGAGTCTCCACGCTACGTTGTGAAAAGAGATTTTATATTGCGAGCTTTAAATAGACATTTATCTGCCTGAAAAAAATAATTGGTTGTGAATAATTTGAATCCAGTTATGGTTTATTTAATATTTCAGCTACCCTGTGTGAGCAACTAGCAAGAGGTAAAAATAAAATGCATTAATTTTGTTTTTCTATTAACCCATCACTATTTGAGGGAATGGGCGTGTGGGCGGAATAAGCCGCTGTGCTTGTTATGAGAAGGTTGCCGGGTCAAACCTGGCCTTTGAAGAGTTATGTCTGTGGGCCCTTGAGCAAGCCCCCCCCCCCCAGGTCAATGGGTGCCTCTCCAGGTGGCGGCCCTTCGCGGACAAGCCTGCTCTCAGTTACATATGAATCTGTGTCTTAAGGGAAGCAAGATTGCGAAGGTGAGAAGAGAATTTCCCTGTATGGCATCAATAAAGTGATGTTCTTACTACATTTATTAATTTTACTGAACTTTTAGATTTAAAACTTATTAAAGAATTTACGGTCAGTGCCGGAACGGCCCGAGGACAGACACCACAGAATGGAACTGCTCTTTCCTGTGCGCCGCTGTATTTGTTTTCAATCATACCGCCAAATTTAGATCACATAATTGCGATTCCTTGCGGACAGAAATCACTCTGCACAAGTCGTCCTTATCTGACCTGTGTATCAAAAAAGACGCCACTACAAACAGGCTTCGTGTACCATCTTGCTGCAGTCCAAGAAAGGAGGATAAGATTTCCACAACACAATTCTTTGATCCTGATGTTTTGGATTCACCTGCAGGTATATTATGTATGTCATATAAAATATGTTTTCTTTGCCATTTATACAAGATTGAGTGCATAAATTATGTATAGTATGACCAGACAATTTTATCCTCTGAGATAATGAAAATGATAAATGAGAAAACAAAATATCAAATACTTACATTGCATTTTCTCTCTTTTGCAGAGAGTGGATGTTGTTCACAGTTTTATCTGTGTGGTTAGAATAAAGAATGCACAGTTAATAGGGCACCAGTTTTGACCACAACTCAGATACCTAATTAGTTCCATGGATATGATTTTTTTTTTATTCTGTAAAAAAAAATAAAGTGGCCCAGCCAATGCACTTTATTCATTGCAGTTTCATGCTAGATTAATACAAATTGTTTGTTAGGTTGTTGCTGGTTTGGTTACTTATTGTGCTGACATTTTATTATAATGCCCATGCTGTGTCTGTGTGTTCTTAAAAGCTTCTGCTAAATGAATATCTGTACTGCTTAAACTACAATGATGAATCAGAGCTGAACCCACAGACATGTGGCAAACTGAAATTGAGATCTATAGTGTAAGTTAATAGTCTGTATACTGTAGGCATTTTACATTGCAGCGCGGCTCTCAGACTATACTTATCGCAATAAAAACTGCCACAACTGCCTCCAATGAGAAGTCTGCTTTTACAGCCCAAAGGCTTGACATACTTTGACACAGTCGGGGACAGGTGCATAGGGGGGGGGGGCAACAGGACAAACAGCAGTGCAACACAGGACAATGAAAGACAAGACGGTGTATTATAAAAATACATGAATCATAAATAAGCAATTCATAAGTTGAAATGGGGATAAGGATATGGAAATAGACCACAGTAGAGTAAATATATATAAGCCCATCCAAAATATCTGCCCTGCATATGGAGAGCAGCGGATATTTCAAGCAAAAAGATACTTGAAGACACTGACCAATTTTCTTCACAAAGCCGACCTGTATTTTGCTGTCAAACAAAGGGAGATTAGACATGCTTGATAACGCACATACAGTATGAACCTCAAGTGAACCTTCCAGGAGGATCCTGGTCTCTCCGGAGACGGATGGAGTGACGTATTAGTTCAGGTCACTGACCAGGTATTCTCGTGTCAGCCCCCTCTGCGATCCTGAAGGCAATCACCCCCCCCCTCCCAATTCACTCTTTGTATCTCACTCATGGGAGGTCAAGTGAGCTGAGAAACCTATATTTAAACAACAAATTGCACCTCTAAGTCAAAGGGTGTAGTGAGTGGTTTTGGAGAGAGATTGTTATTGTTATACTTAATAATTAAAATGGGGGACGGGGTGGGGTGGGCACAAATGAAGGCAAATTAAATTCTAGTGGGGATCATCCAACAGTTCCTACGCCCCTGGGTGTAGTTATAACGGGCACGGCTACTAACCGTTAGGATGTACACCATGCCTACAGTATGTGCATTGGGTGAGCTGACGATGACCCTTTGAATTTTTTCTTTATATAGAAACAACATTCCTCTTCAAAGCGCCAGTCGACCTCTCCTAGCTGAAATAAAGCTGAACACTTGGCCAACTTGCCAAAAGCACCTCCAGGCTCATTCCAAACTGCGATGTAACAGTAATAGTAATTTTGCTTTTCGAGGTGAATACTTACGATACGCTAAGCATACCTACTATTAGCTTTGGCGTGATTGCTATGAATGGCAAGCTATTGTGAATCAATTTTGAAGATTCAGAGTTTGGGTGTGTGAAATGTCTAAAATGAACATCTTGAAGTGCTGAAGACCAGAACAGTTGACGCGACATCAAGTTTGTCAGGTACCTGTTAGAGTGAGGGAGTCATGGGCTTCACTCCAAACTGCTGCCTGCATGAGCTCATGCTGTGTATTTGGCAGCATAGTATAATTGTCCAGATTTTGCTCTAACCATACTAATGTGACTGTCTCAAATGTCCTATGAGAATTAGACTAACAGAGCAGTTGCATTGTTCTACAACTTTCTAAGGTGTTATTTCATCCCTGTTTGAAGAGGTGA